TGAATCTATAAAGTTTGTTTTTGTTTTTCAGCAAGTGGTCAATGGAAGGAGGTGCTTAACATTCAGAATTGAACAATAAACATTATTATTTGAATGGTTTTATTTCTAGATTTGCAGGTTTGTGACTTCGTTAGTCAAAATTTGGGTGAATGATTGAATAAATGAATGAATGGAAATATTAATAATAAATATCATTAATGTTAAATAATATAAAATATAAAAGAAACGAAATATATAAGACATAAAAAAGGGAAAATATATATATACATATATCATTTTGTAGATTTTATAATTTAAATATTAAAAAATAAAAATCTAAAAAGTTATGTGTATATGTATATGTATCTATCTATATATATATATATATATAATTTTTAGTATTATTTTAAAAATAATTTTAACCATTATACAGCAAGATGAAAATATGAAGTCAGTTTCCACTGACTAAAACTAGACTAAAACTTGCCAAAAACTAAAACAGGACAAGTTGACTAAATATGATAAAAAACTAAAAGTTACATTTGACACAGGACTAAGACTAAATTAAAAATAGCTGACAAAATTAACACCATATTACACACAGAAATGCCATTAAATGTGCTATATCAATCTTTTCTACAGAAATGAATACATTTAACAGAACACCTACTTCTAAAAGGCTTAAATGCAAAGCAAGCTGAAATTCTGAGGAAATCAAATTACCAATTACCTGTCTCTGTTTTTGGTCAGCAAGTTTCGCTCTATGCCCTCCATGAGATTTTCAAAGCATAAGTGCATGGCTTGCTGCTTTTCTGGTGGTTGGCTGTTCACAATGCTGTTCCTCAAATCTGCAAAATACTACAACCCCAATGCCGCAAATCAGCAAATAAGAATGATTTCTGAAGGACCATGTGACACTGAAGACTGGAGTAATGATGCTGAAAATTCAGCTTTGCGTCACACAAATAAATTTGAAACTATATTCAAATAGAAAAATTGTGTTAAATTGTAAGAGTATTTCGCAATATTACTATTTTACAGCATTTTTGATTCAAATAAATGCAGCCTTTGTGAGCATAAGAGACTTAAAAAAACATCATAAAAAATCTATCACATACCTTCTCATTGAGTAGAATCAAGCCAAGCAGTGGCCGTGACATTGACCACTGATTCCTACAATCTTCGAAAATGATGATATTCAACACTGTGGACAGCATCTGGATAAGATTGTGAGAACTCTTGTCAGATTAAGTATCTCCAATACATTTCAAAATGTAGAAGTATTTGATAGATATACACAAGGAAAATATATTTTATAACGAACATAAATGGCTGTCAAAATTACCTATTTTGTCCCTCTTATGCTTTAAATACGATGAAACACTAAATTATTAAAAACAAAAGTGTTTATTTTATGATTTAATTTTATTTTTAAATCTAAGGTCTTTCAAAGCCTCAGCTCACCTGCTGGATCATCTCAGGGTGCTGCTGCATTATGTGAAGGAAGCGGTCGCTCTCCTGGGCCATGGGCGCCGCTCTTTTCTTTGTGCTGCGTGACAGCTGTTTGAATAGATAAGTAACTATGTGGTCCAAGCTTGAGCAGCAACCAGTGCATACCATTGTGTCTGTGAGGAGACAAACAGAAACAGAGTTCTGGTTCAAAGGATCACAAACACCTAGGAGTCCATGATGGAACAGCAGGAGGGTTTGTGAGATTAAATAGTGTAAAAAAAAAAGAAGCTACACGCACACAAAAATCATTATCATGATGAGAAGGTCCTTACCAAGTGCTGTGAGCCCCTCTGATATGGAGGACAGGATGTACATGACCACATGAGGCTCCAGGCTGGCGATGAAGTTCATATGGTCTTGGGTTAGCACCTCCAGAAGAGAGTAGAAAGACTGACTAAGCTTTGGATAGTCCTGCAAGAACAAGAATAAACCAACCAAAAATCAACCAATATGAATGCTGAAGGACACAATCCTAAAGCTGACAGCTGACGATTTTTACCAGCAGGTCACTATGAGGGATGGACAAGAGCAGTTTAATAAAGGTCTGCAGGGCATTGTCCAAGGCATCATCGCCGTACAGACGGAAGACGCCGAAGTTGACATAGTTGCCACTTAATACGGCTTTCAGCATGGAGAAACAAATGGAGATTCCCTTCAGTTTCAGCGCGTACACCTGATCTTTTGGCACCTCACCCAGCGTCAGAATCCGATTCCCTTTAAGTGGAAAAATGACATTACTATTATGATGATAATTCAATTTAAGTTTTTTAATATTTAATAAAGCTACACCATACCAGAGGAACAGTTCACTGAAACATGAAAACTGGGCTATTATAGGCGAGTTTGTACCATATGTTGTAATCATCTTGCTGGTCTCCCTGAACAGCAGGATTCCATTCGGTGACGACACATCAAACTGTAATCTCTGTGACCTTCATGTGTGTAAAAAAAGAAGAAAAAAAAGCACACACTATAAGCCAGAGAACATACATAACCTTTAAACTCGGCTCTAAAGGACACATGTGAGACGTAACATGGCGTACCTGTTGTGGACGAGCTCAGCCATGAGTTTGAGGACTGGTGTGGTGCAGGCAGGTACATGGTACCAGAGCTCTATCGCCCGCTGTAAGATGGGCATGTAAGAGGGGTAACTAAGATCTGTTAAGGAGCACATTAAAATTGGCATTCAATCTGAATTGACCTAAGAGATTAGTTTTATATCATTTACTTATTATTTTCTTACTTTTTTTAACAAACTTATAATAAATAATTAATTAAAAAGAAAATAATAAATAAAAATAAAGAAATAAATATACATACAAACACAAATGTGAACAAATAAACACAAAGTAATTACACAAAATAAATAAATAAATAAACAAACATGCGAACAAACAAAATAAAAACAATTAAGTGAAAAAACAAACAAAATGACAGAAAAAAAAAATAATAATTACACAAAGAATGGAATAAACAAATGAAAACAAACATGCAAATAAACAAAAAAGGGAACAAACACAAATAAAAGAAATACTTTCACATAAATAAAATAAACAAATAAATGACACCAATAAAATAAACATAGAAACAAACAAACAAGCAAACAAATAAATGTAAATTAAAGGATACATCCAATCAAAGAGCATCATAAAGCTGGTCTTGGCATTAAAGGCAAAGGCAATTCCCCGCAGATCTCTCACCAGTCCTACTAAAGTCCTCTGAAAGAAACAAATAACAAATACACAACAAATAAGAAAACACAAGGTATTTTGCAAATGTTTCATGCCACACTGAGGTTGTATGATAAACAATATAACATCTCACTTTTGCTTCTTGTTCATTGAAGGTGTTGGTGCTGAACATCTGAGCGATGGCCTCAAATGCAGCAGTGAGAGGAAGCATGAACTGTTCAAACTGGTCCTCATCCTCACCTGTCAAAGACACAGAATGTCATTTTACATGACACTTATATGCTATATCTATAGATACTTATATGCTATATCTATAGGTACACCCTTACCCAAATCTACCATAAGAAGTCTTCCCAAGGCTGTGTAGAAAGTGGTCCGACACCTCATGTCACTAAGGTTGGCCTGATTGTTCACACCCAGGAAAGAAAAGTGCTCACTCTGTCACACAGAAGAAAAACAAGACACCGTCAGCTTGTTAAAGTAACTCAAGAAACAAAGAATAGTAAAAAAGAAAAAAAAAAAAAGATAATTAACTTAATTGTGCTTCAGGGACAAATACAGTTGAAGTGGAGTTAAGAAGGAGAAAGGCTCAGGTTGGTCACTTACTGTATGGTTGTTTAGCATGAACTGGACAGCACTGAGTTTCACAAGTTTTCTAACACTGCTGTATGTGAGAAATAATGTTAAGGAAACAGACGAGAACATATTCACTGTCAAAAACATCACAGACCATTTTATACATTTACATTAAACAGTCCATCATCCTCAATAACAATGCTAATATTTTTTTTTTTTTTTACATTTTAACCAGCAACATGCGTGTAAGGATATCCAATCGAAAGGTCATTGAGGAGCTGTAGTGTCTTAAATGTGATTGGTTCACACTGTCCCCAGTACTTCAAGTTGGTGATTCTGCATTAAAACAAAACTCTACATTAAAAACATTGCTTTTTTTTTTTTAATTGTTCTTTTTGGCAAAACTAGGTTTTATGATAATTATACCCATCACCTAATATATACTCACATTTTCCCAATGAAAACACTGAGTACCATGGTCTCATCATTCAAGCCAAGAACCTCTGATAGTCTTCGATATAACTAGGGATCAAACAAAAAGTATATTATTTCCTGTCATCTTGTATTCATCCTGAACTGGTGCTTTGCATTGTAGCTTGAACAATCTATTTTATAAATGTAGCATTTAGTATGTTAAACTACTAAAAACAAAACAGGTTGGGAGATAAGGCCTCAAGAAGCAAGCAAATATGACAATTCACAAGGGGTTCTCACAAATCCATAAAAAATATAGATTTGGCCAGAAAATAGGGAAAAAGCAGGTCAATTTAATTTCCAAATTAAAAACTTAAATGTAACATTTATTGACAAATTCAGTATATACATATATATATATATTTTTTTTTTAAATAATATTTATGGGCTTTTTATTCCTTTATTATTCAGACAGGACAGTCGAGAGATGACAGGAAATCATTGGGTAGAGAGAGGGGAGCGGGATCGGTATAGGACCTCGAGACGGGAATCGAACTCGAGTTGTCGTGAGCTCAATTGCACTGTATATGTTGGCACACTAACCACGAGGCTATCGGCGCTGACATAAATATTTTTCTAATACAAATAAAAATACATTGCTAAAATACAAAATCTTGGAAGAAAAAATCCTTATTGTCGAGTTCTGATTATGGTCCAGTCCCAAATGGCACATTCCTCTGAGTCTACACTTTGCTGCATGGACTGCTGGGTAACAGTACACTCTGAAATCTATATCCCTATGGTCCAAATTAAGTGTGCCATTTGGGAAAATTCTCCATTAAATCGAATACATCCAATTATCAAGATACAATCAGACTTTGTAATAGGTTTTGCACGAATCGTACACTTTTGAACAGGAGAAGAAATTTTAAGGTGTTAAATTCCAAGGTAAAGGACAACAGGTTAAAGCAGAACTAAAGACAGGTTTAGAGGAATAGCTAGTCTTTCTATGTGCACTTATCTTCTCTGTTCTGAGAATCTGAGCAACAGGAGAGAAAGCTACAGTTTTCAGAACACTTTCATCTCCAACATTAAAAAAACAAACAAAAACAACCCCCCCCCCCCCCCCACAAACAACCC